CCCTTATCACTCTCCAATTCCTTCGATTTCGTTTACAATTTGTCATGTGTTTTTAGTTGGGAACATTCCTTACGACGCTACCGAGGAACAACTCAGAGAAATTTGCGGCGAGGTTGGACCTGTTGTTTCGTTTAGGTCAGTTTTCTGATAGGGTTATTCTTCAATTCGGGTTAATTGGCTTAGGGTTTTACAAAGAAAGCATCTTTCTTCAATCAAACGGAGAATTCTAGTTTTGAACGACAATTTTGAAAATCTCGCTGTTTGCTTTCTTTGATTCAGATTAGTTACTGATAGAGAAACTGGTAAACCAAAAGGTTACGGATTTTGTGAGTATAAGGACGAAGAAACTGCATTGAGTGCTCGTCGTAATCTTCAGAGTTACGAAATCAATGGGCGTCAATTAAGAGTTGATTTTGCAGAGAATGACAAAGGAACTGAGAAAACTCGTGATCAGGTTACTCTCTCTTTTCTTATTCTGCTACATATTTTTGGTGGTTTTAACTACTGAAGCTATTATCTCTATACGTTTATGACTAAAGATGGTAACTTTGGATTTTCAGGGTCAAGGAGGACCTGGTTTACCGGCTGCTACTGGTATGTTTCGTTTCGGTATCTGAAACTTTACTGACCGGAATTTTCTTTTAGATGAACAAAACTTATTATTGTTTTTATTTCTTTCGGCTATTTAGTGACAGAATCTCAAAAGCAAATCGGGGGGCCTGGAGATTCAAATATGCATCAGCCGGTTGGTGTCCAGCTTGCTATGACCGCTGCATCTGTTATGGCGGGTGCGCTAGGTGGTCCCCAGGTCGGTTCGCAGTTTACACAAGGTACACTGCAGGTTCCAGCTAGTGATCCCCTGACTCTTCATCTTGCTAAGATGTCTAGAAGTCAGCTCAGTGAAATTATATCATCCATTAAGGTGTGAATCTTGTCATGGGTTGTTTCCTTTTTTATTTTTGACGCATTGTTGAACTATTGGAAACGAGTGGCGTGATGTGATTGTGTTCTCTCAATGGTCAGTTAATGGCGACGCAAAATAAGGAACAAGCTCGACAGTTGTTGGTTTCAAGACCTCAGTTGCTAAAAGCAGTTTTCCTGGTATTTGCCCATCCCCTGATTCTGCAAATCATTTAACTCTCATGCATTCTTATTGATATTCTTACAAGTTAGTTGTTGGTTATTCATGGGAACTAGGAGAGAACAATCTGTTTTAGTTTCTCTGTAGAAGGTGTGCTCTTAACTAGCTGAGAAATGTCTCTTCCAAGATGTTTTACTGTTTTATGAACTCTCATTTTTTCATTATTGACAAATAGTTCTTATTACACTATGATTCTTACAATTTTTTAACCTATACTTTGTCTACTGTGTTAGGCTCAGATAATGCTTGGGATTGTGAGTCCACAAGTCGTAAGTTTTCCATCTTAATGAACAGTTTTTTGCTTCCTCCTCTATCTATCTGTTATGTCTTAAGAGGACTATTGCAATTCTTGAATTGTGCAGTTGCAAACGCCAAATATTGTTCAGGCCCCAAGTCATATGACAGGGTCTTCAATTCAAGACACACAACTATCTGGTCAAGTATCCAGTCAAAACTTTTTACCGCCACTGGCACAAAGGTCGCAGCAGCTAAGTCACCCTCCCCATAGTCAGTTTCCCACTCAACAGTCTTCTAAACAACCTTTTAGTCAGATTCCACAACTAGTAGCACAACCAGGTCCTTCTTCTGTGAATCCTCCTCCTAGATCCCAAGTTAAAGGTCTCAGTGACACTGCTCCATTCCAACGCCAAAAGCAATTGGTTCCAGCTTCCACCAACGTAGGTTATAGTAGTCAGACTTCAGTTCCAAACAATGCTATCCAGCCATCTCAAGTACCCCGCCCAGCATTGACAAATTCTGTGGTGCAGGTGAGTTTCCACAATACCTTTCTTTTCAGAGAATAAAGCCATTGTGATATAAATTTAGTTCGAAAGTCTTTGCAAAGTTTAGCGCCGGTATTATAAGTACACACACTCCTAAGGACTGTTCTGTTTTAGTCACCATCTTTTACAGAGAGAGGTTATCAATTGTTGAAATGAACTGCTAACTAGTAGTCAAAGGGACGCATGTTTTGATTTTCAAGTTTAGAATCAAACTTTAAATATATAGCTAGTGAGCATCGAAGGGTGTTTAGTGGAGTATATGACCCTTTTAGTCGCTTTCGTTCTCCTATTTGTTTTTATTTGTATTTTCTCTGAAGATAACTTCTCGTCTTTATTTATATATTTTACAGCAAGGTGGGCAAACGGTATCATTAAATTATGGCAAAAGAATAAACGAGGGTCCTCATCAATCAGTAAACAGACCATCAAAGATGATGAAGGTGGAGGATATGAGAACCACACCATTCCCTGGAGGTCATGCGTCTAATTCAATACTTCCGAATCAAGTGCAAAATCAAGTACAACAACAGGATCCGCAGGTATTATATCGCTCACCAATGCCCCTTATGAATCTGTTAAGTTGCAAATATTTGTTCCGTGATTGATTTTCTTTCTCCAGACTCGTATCTCCCCGGATGTGCAATCAGCATTGCTCCAGCAAGTAATGAACCTTACGCCGGAACAGATGAGATTGCTGCCTCCAGAGCAACAGCAAGAGGTCATAAAGCTGCAACAAGCGCTCAAGCAAGACCACATGGTGCAGCCTTCATAGCATTTTGGTAGTTGTCTCGTCTTATAATGCCATGGATCTTTTCTGTATTTTCTCAGTTTTATTTTGTTAAGTGCAAGGATGAGAGCTGCATTTGTTTTGTATTCTAGGTGATATTTCATCTAATTCTCTTTTTTGGTTTCATCTCTCTTCTATCCACAGGGGACAGCAACTCGGTTGGTCAGTGTCATTTGATTAAACCTTGCAGATATGAGAAGGTTTTTCGCACGCAAATCACCATAGAAAGGAGAAGGCTCTCTCACCTAAATTGGTTAGTGATTGTACTAATAGTGTAGCATTTATTTGTGCTTGTCATTATAGAAGAACCATCCAGCCACACAATATAAAAGAAAAGAGAAAGTTACAAGTTGAAAAGTCTCAGAATAACTGTGTTGGTCTCTTTCTCTCTTCTTCTTACAGTCTTGTTTTCTGCTTTAACTCAACTGCCCGTTCGTTCTAATACTGTGGCCACTGGTTTGGTCATTGGTGGAGATTTTAGTACTTTGAGTAATAAACACTTTATTTCTTCACTATACAACAATTACGACTGAAGCTTATTTCGTTAAAACATATGTTCAGAACTCAGAAGTGTTGCATTACTAAAATGGAGATTATTAAATATTACAGTATTGCGCTTGAACGAATAAAAATCACAGATATACATGTATAAAGTATAAGTCTTTAAATCTGCAAGTATTTTGTAATCCGACATCAAAGAAATATCCTACGGATGGTTCTAGCGAAAGCGCGAGACATCAATCTTCCAACCAAGTCACCTGGCAACTGAAGCAACTGCTGTTGCGACTCTTGTGGAAGCTGCAATATTCATTCAAACACCCCAAAAAGAAGTCAGGACAAGTGGTCTCGAATCATAAATGAATATAGTAAGTAAGGGACTAGTAAAATCGAGCAGCAAACATCTGAAAGGTTAGGTGATATGTTATCCAAATGATACCTCGGGTAAGATGGAGAGGATCGGAAGCATCTCTTGTGCTGATGGAAGCTGATACATGACGAGTGATGCGTTGTCTAGGGGCATGTGTGCCTCACCATATTTACTTACCGCTTTTACTTGCTGCAAGTTTGGTGCACAGACATTAACAATAAAGAAAATAGCAAACAACATTTGATTTTACTATTCAAAAATCAGAAGAAGAGGGAATTCTTTACCGTGCTTACGTTTTCATCCTTTCGCATCCCTGAGAACAATGAAATGAGTCGATAAAAGGTTCTAAGGTTTGTCATGTCTTCTTCGGTCAACGAGGCGAATGGCCTTGAACCAGAAAATGGTGTAGTCGTAGAAGCAAGCGAATCCAACGTTGCCAATCCCAATGCATCAAGACCCTGTTGAGTAAGAATAAGCAACAAAGATAACCGAACCTTTTGATCAACAACAAATGTGACATTTCAAGCAAATAAGTAGCGCAAGGAATTCAATAATTTATCAAATAAAAAAAGTGTTTTAATTTTTGATAGTTATTTGTTTACAATATATGATTGTCAAGCCAGTCAGTTTCTTGGACACCCTTTGATCAAACAGTTTTTCTTTTATCGAACAGCTGATAAGACATTTTAAAAGCTCACCTTAGCAAATTCTTGAACAAGGATTTCTCTTACAAAAGAACCCTGTTCAATGTTTGAAGATTTTAGTACTTGTAAAATTAGTTTATATAATTCATAGAACCAAAAACTACTGCTTAATATATATACCTGTTCCGTGAAAGTAAAAGCAAGCATTTGCTTCATGACGATCTTAGAGTCTGTGCCCTCCACATGTTTCTGAACTAATGCCGTCTCTGTCCTAAGAGACTGAAGAAAGTAGATGTGATTAAGAAACCAAGTGCTATCCTTCGTTATTTAAACAGCCAAACTTAAGCTATTTGTTTCCCACTGCCGTTTTATTGAGAGTAAGACATTTTTGTCATGATCTTGTATAGTTTTCACGTATAGATATCACAGATTTCAGTCTTTGGTTGGCTCTTAGGCCGTCTGGTTGTGTTTACTGACTAATTTACCATTGAACACGACATAGACCTCATCAAGTTAACACAAATATCCAAACAACGAAAACTGACGCACTAATATACAGCAAAAAGATGTAAAGAATATACTGCAACCCATAGATAGTCAAACAATAAAAAGGAATTGAATCAGTCTCACCTCCGTAATCAAAGACTCAAGACGGTCAATTCGGAAAACACCTTCCTGGAAAAGACACACATAAGAATAATATGTTCAGAAAGAAACAGAATTGGAGAGGATGTCCGATCTGATTCACAGGATTGTTTAGTACCTCATACAGAAGAGACTGAAGAGAACTTTTCAGCTGTGGAGAGCTGTCAGTTAGAACTTTTCTAGCAATCCACGGGTACGTACTGCCCAAAACCTTGTAGTTTGGGCTTATACCAATAGCAATGCCCTCCAAAACAGCAAGGCTGGGGAATAAATGATGAGAAACCAAAAATTGTGAGAATGCTGTCTCAGTAGACAGAAAAAGACTAGTCACACATAAGCCGTGGTTGAAAGTAAATGTAGGATAAATTGAATTAAGCATTTAACGCATTGACCCGTTGAACCTACAATCTTATGCAAAAGGTCAGACTTAAAAGTTTGAGAAATCTCAAAAGCTCAAAACAAGAATGTTCATCATACCAGCAAAGCGGCTGGAAGTCTAATAGAGTGAAAAAAATAAAGTACCTACGGATAACGAGAGAAAAATAGGGGGGTATTCTGAATTTGAATTGGTACCTGAAAGTTTGACAAATGAATATTAGCATCCAATAAGTAAGCGCAAAGTATAAAGTAGAGTTCTTTCAAATGTCCCTCTCCCAGAGATATTAAGTAAAATCGTATAGCATGTATTAGTTAAAGTACAAGTGTTACTACATAGTTTTTCCTAAGTCGCCAAGCAGGTCACCAAAGCTTATATTGCGAACTCCTCTGGAAATTGCATCTTGAAAAACATCTATAGAGAGAGGAGCCAATTGTTTCAGAAAGCAACAAAAACAAAAATAATATGAACACTTGGCTGCATTACAACACTCTTTTCCAAACCGAAAGCAAGAATGAACCTGTTAAAGCCTTTGTCACAGCACTCTTTTCCGCCGTTGGTGGAAGAAGCCTATAGAAGTTGTGCAGATAAGATTAGGAAATGTCAACAGTTGAAAGTTCAGATTTAGATAGACACCAATGACCAGAGTACCCCAAAGTTACAAAGTCTTTAGCCAGTGCTTTGAAGTCACGATTTACAAGATGAATACATGCCTCCATGAATCCATCACGCAACTCTGGCCTAAAATCCCCCATCATACCAAAATCTGGCAGCAAAACAAACAAAAAGTTCAATAATTTATAACAAATATACTTCTTCGGACAGTAAAACCTGTCTTTAGTTTGTCGACATAAAAATGTCTTTAGTTTGTCGACATAAAAACCAAGTACATATACATCAAATAGGATATACAGAGAGGCAGCAAAAGTCCCCCATCTTAATATCTGGAGCAATGAACGATTATCACGAACACAGCGTATAACATTGAATCATCGAAAAATATAATACCGTTAAGCAAAAAAGTAATAGGTTTTCATGTTTCTGATTAATTCACTGTATGATCAGAATCATCAGATGGATTAGCTGAAACACAGGTAGAGTTGAATCTGATCGATTAGCTGAAACACAGGTAGAGTTGAACTACTACAGAGCATCAGCGACCAGTCTTTATTCTTTGAAGTTTGAACGTAGATACAAGTTTACAAAAACATTATCTGGACCATGGAATGCAGCACGTCAATAAAATAAGTGAGACTTGGGGTCGAGGAATACCTAAGTATGCAAGTTGCCCATCGTATGTGCGAAGAAAATTCCCAGGGTGGGGATCGGCATGGTAAAATCCATACTCTAGAAGTTGATTAAACGAACAGTAAACACCGACCTCAACTAAATAAAGATCATTAACTTCAGCAAGCTTCTGACCCTGCAATGATACGGCGAGTAGAATACACGAAATTATTATGTGCTTAACAAATATAAAATAACTTTTGAGTGAACAAAGTTATTTATAGCTCAGATCAATAATTCTTTGGCACAAACCAAAAAAAAAATGATTCTTTAACTGCAAACGTTGGACTTCATACCTCAACCCACTCCATTACAAGAACTTTGCTACTACTGTACTCTGTGTACATCTTTGGAACCAAGACATCTTTGATGCTACCATACAACTTCCTATTCAAGCAAACAGAATGCTCCTTTAGGTAATCCCTTAACCATTAGATGAGCTAATAATGTTCTAGAAGGAAAATATCATGTGTGTCCAGGTACCCCGTTTAAGCAAAATGCCACATGATGTATAGCTCAGATCAATAATTTATAATTAGAGTACAATCTTAGTCCTAGCAATAAAATATAAAGGAGATCAAACAAGATTCAAACCTTAGCAGGTTTTACCTAAATTTGATTCCGTTTTGGGCTTCTTTCAAGTAATCCATCTCCTGCATTCAATGTGATTTACCTGTATTCAATATAAAGCTCTAAGATATTCCTCGACCAACAAAATTTTAAATGCAACAACTAGTCCATCTAACAGATCTTTCAAGCCATTAACCAAATCATTAGCATCTATCCATTTTCCACAAAATAGCAAAAGATATAATTTAACCTTCTCCAGCATCACCTTAAACTGTTAATGACATTTTCTAGAGAACAGAAAAGTAGGATTGCATAAAGAGAAAACAGTATGCAACCCTTTTTCCTCAATGACAGAAAACAAGCGAAGAGAAGCACCAAGAACTAACCAGTTCTATTTTTAAAATATACTCTAATGAATCAGAACGGGTATCGTATTGTGGTAAGAGTAAATCCTTTACCTTGAACAGACTTGTTGCCCATTCATCAACAACTGCCTGCAAATGGAATTTCACACGGTACTTTAGCGTCCGAACAGGTTAACAGTACACTCTGACTATCTTAAATATTCCATTTTTCTCACCGACAAAGTTTCAAAAGTTAAGTAACTTGACATTTGTTTATCAGTTAAAAAAAGACACCAATTTACACAAGTTTCACGCACCTCCAGATCTGAATTGAATCTTCCAGCCTTTTTAACCAAACGCGCTATATATCGCAGAATTAGTGTGTCCAAAGCAATAGCAGCTCGTACACCAGGCCGCTGCACTTTGACAGCAACAACCTTTCCAGTTCTACGGAGCCTAGCTTGATATACCTGAAACATGGACCAGATTAGGGTCCACATAATAGGAGAAGCTCTCAATAGGACCAGATTGGAAACAAAATACTAGCATTCGGATAAGCTTTAGACCACGCTTCCCAAGTACCTGTCCAAGGGACGCTGCAGCTACAGGCTCTGGAGAAATCTCAGAGAAAAGCTCATCTATAGGAAGGCCAAGCTCATCCTCAATCATATTGAAAGCAACTTCGGTTGAAAACGGAGTTATTTGATCTTGTAGCAAGGAGAGTTCATCCAAGTATGTAGGCGGTATCAAATCCTATTGACGATTAAAAACTAGTTCAAAAACAATCACAAAGCTCAAGAAATGAGGTTGAACAATGTTAAGAAAGCCTGAAGAACACAGAAAGGGCAACTTACAGGACGAGATGAAACAGCCTGAGCTATTTTGACGTACGCCTAACAAAAACAAGACAAGACATGAAAAGCCATTACATCCACGGAAAGAGAGGAAGAACACTCGCAATGAGCAATGTAATGATAAACCTCAACGAATTCGTAAAGTTCTTCAGAAAGAGAGTGAGAAACCATACCGGACCTAGCTCCACAAGTAGTTTCCTAAGCTCTGCTGCTCGTACCTAATTAGAACCAATGATGAAACGAAAGATGAGAACAAAACCATCATCGAAGAGCATTCTAACATAACAAAATTAGAGACAATCACCTTAAACATTTGCTCAGACCGGTCCAGAGCCTCATCGGCTAAGCGAAGCCCAAACCAGAAACCAAACGTAGTCCCGATCTGAACCAATCGACGAAGAAGAATCAGAGGCTTCTTCTTATATATCTCAGAAATCCTTGAAAAACTGTACTCCGACAAAGAATCGGCCTCATCGGCGCTGAGACTGAACAAATAACCGGATTTACTCGTGAAGCTATCAACATCTCTTGAAGCAGCGGAAACGACGGCGGAGCTCCTTCTTCGCGGCGGAGAAGACGGTGGCGAAACCAGCAGTAGATTGGGATTGGCGGGAAATGAGACGATTGGCGGAGAAGGAAGCAGAATCATCTCTTCCAAAAACTACAGATTTATCTGTTCTTCAATGAATATCACATGCAGGTTTCTGTGTGTACGGGTACTATTTTGGATGAAAACTGCGGACAAAAATGTCTATCTGATTCTCCGCTCTTTTATCTGTTTTGTTTCCACTCACATTCTTTATACTTTCTCGTCTCTTCTCTGGGATTTTTCGGGTTTTCTGCGTCACACAAATTGCACCAATCTTTCCGTTAATTTATCCTTTTTTTTTTTAATCGTAAAAATTTA